TTAGGGCATACCTTGAAGGGGCAACCCCCTATCATTGCACCCAACCCCCATGTCCATGAAGATCGGGACCTCGTTCCCACAACCCTGGTTTTGGGGGTCTATTGGTGGGAGGCTTCTTGGAATCTGGATGCCCCATTTAACAATAAGGGGACCCCCAAATACTGGCCTCCCCCTATGTGACGGAGTTTGGGGTACATAGTACACTCATTTACAAAAAAAAAAAAAACCCCCAAAGTTTTGTTCATTGTCCCCCAATGTACATCCACCATTAATCACGTCGTCCAATGAAGGAGATCCATGTCAATCATGATGCCTGGAAGGTCTGATGTCACCTGGGAGACCACACCCTTTGTATGACATTTGTCATGTGACTGGCGTGAAGCCTTGGGGTAAGACGTGTCTCATCACACAGCGCCTGCAGGCATCAGGTGTATTTATTGGCACTTTTTTTGTGTGTCCCCCCCCCCCTTTTTCTTTAATTTGCACTGCTGCTTTGCTTATGTAGTACCCTCCTAGGAAGCTAGGGGGAGCTAGTCCATTATACCTTTGAGTAGCAGCCTGGGTGGTAGTCAGAGGGGTCAAATTTGGGTCAGGACTGAGAGCTCTCTGATTCCTCTCCCTGATCTAGAGACTTGGAGAAGTCTCTAGAACTCAGTGGGTGGGGGCAGGGGTGTGTTTACCACAAGTCAAACAAGGCATTTGCCTAGGGCGGCAGTTTTCAGGGGGGGGAGCACTTCCCCTTGGAATAAGGGACAGAAGAAGGGAGACACGTGGCATGGGGACCTGGTGGGTTTCCGAGAGAGGCTGTGGGTCTCATGACGGTGTATGCACAGCCCGACTCTCGTTCCCGGGGATGTCTGGAGCTGGGAAGGTGTCTTTCTCTCTCTCGCCATGGTGGACGGTGGCTGGTGTATGGAGGGCAGTGGTAGTGGAAGGCTCTCTCGGGTGGGGGGCAGGGGTGTTGTTGGTCAATGTCAGGCTCTCTCTGCAGGGGGGGGGCAACAAATTTTTGTGTTGCCTCAGGCACCATAAAACCTAAATGCACCACTGGGTGGGGGTGAGGAGTAGCTGGTCTGTATGCCTAAAGGATCTCAACCAATCCCCAAGCAGGAGGCCTGGCAAGGGGTTGGGACAGCTTTTAGGCCTATCTGAGCCTGCTCAGTAGAGGGGAGAGTTCGGGTGGAAGATGTGAGAGCAGGAGAGCAGTGCGGAGCCTGGGAGGGGGGCCAGTGGGAAGGGGCCTGCCTCCAGGAAGGATCATGACAGGAGGAAAGCTGGACCTCACCGGCCCCCTGAGAGAGGACCATCTGTGGAGCTAAGGAAGCAGCCAGACCAGCAGAAGGCCTGAAAGCAGCTACCAACCTGCAGCTTAGAGAAGAGGGGCAGTAAGTACTTCTACACCCCCTGGACCAGAGTAGGGGAGAGGGCATTTGGGAGGAAAACCTGACTAGCCCCCAGATGGACCCTAGATCCCCCCTGTCCAGATTTTCTACACCAGGAGAGGCTGGAGAGCTCTCCAAAAGGAGAGAACCCTTCTGAGAACTTGTAGGAAGCTGTCTTCAGGTAAACAGTTCCTCGGCATCCCATGTATCTCTCATCCCCATCCAAGTTTACATCCCCTAATAAAAAAAAAAGGACTGTTTACTGTCTGTAAGGAAGTGACTGTTGCCTGGCTGTGCAGGACTATAGGGGGACCTCAAACCTCAGCAACGTCTATACTTACATTGCCAGGAATTCCCAGCCATGACAGTGAATGGGGCTGGTGGCACCAGTGGTAGGTAAGGATTTGGTGGTGGCTGCACCCGCCGGTGTCCTTGACAACCACTGAGAGCGGGAAGCTGTCATGTACAATAGTGGAAGCCATGCTGCCATCATACATGACGTTCAGGTAAATGTTCAGGAGTTCCTCCAAAGGCTCCAGCAGCCAAGATTCAGTCCAATTTTTGTGTTCAGATGGAACCGTAAAGCGGAATTACACGGAACGTTCGACCTTCAGCTCATTTCAGTACAAATAGGACGAATTCCACGCTCCTGTCATCATTCAATGGTGGTTCCCCGCACTCCGGGGGTGGCAGGATTCCCTCACAAGTGCTTTGCGTCATCTCAGCTGATCCGGGAACTGTCACTTTTGAGTGACAGCGCACAGCGGTGGGCGGATCCAAAAGCCACTATTGGACAGTGTAGAAGCTATGGATCCACCCACTGCTGTGTGCTGTCAATCAAACATGGAGCAGACCTGATTGCTCACAGGTGATCTGTGCATCTCCAACATCTCATAGGTGGATGTCGGTGACACGTGGGGGGGAGGGTGACTGGATGGAGTACCGACACCAGGACCAAGGAAATCAATGATTGCGGCATTCACCGGGCAAAGCTGTGAGCAGAGAGCCGGCCACTGGTGATAAACCCCGGAGAATGTGCGGCATTTGGAGACCATCGGGTGCGGGCAGATGAAACCAGAAGAAAATGGCGGGGACTTTTCCAAGATGGCGCTGCCCTCAACAAACGGCTCGTTTAACTTTGGGATCGATTTTATATTCGAACAATGAAGTATTATCAGCGGTGACATTCATTGGCCATGGTTGATGGAATTTATTCAAAGTTCAGCTCCATGATTGGCTCATCTCCTAGGAACCATCTCTAAGTGGAGGATACGGAACGGGAGGAGATCCCTCTAAAGGAGACCTCCGCCCAGTGCTTCTTGGTGGATTCCTCTGGGACGAAGAGTCTCCGGAGATGTAAATGCCCCGTACTGAGAACACCCCAACATCTGTACGGTGGGGGAGGGGTGAAGGATGAGATCTTCACACGCCGTCTGTGTTTCCAGCTGGGGATCCACCATTATCACCCATCCATCGGCAGAATTCCCGCCATCCAGATCGGCTGCATGGAGTCCTCATAGAGGGGGCTGATTCATGGGAGATGGAGGGAGGAAAATGAGCACAAAAGGGAGGGGCTGCCAACAGCAACTAATCAGAATTCTCTGTTTTTTTTAAGAGGTGAAACCTGATTGGTTGCTGTTGGCAGAAGCTCCACCCTCCAATGTGGATGAATCAGCTCCATCCCAGTAAAATGAATTCCAACTTACAGTGGAGAAGTGGCTTCATAAAAGGTCAGAGGTCAGCCTGAGGGTCAGAGCCCCAACTGGGGTCACTGAAGTCCCCTCCAAGGTCTCCAGACTGCTGCATTGTCAGTGTGTGTAGCGCCCTCCTAGGTCGATAGGGGGAGCTAGCTAGTTTGTATTTACTTAGAGAGGCTATGTCGCAGCCTGGGCAATAGTCAGCAGGGTCAACTTTAGGTCCGGGATGAGAGGCTCTGCAGATCAACACTCTTATACCTCCACCGATCTATGTTGGAGAAGTCTCTAGAACTCAGTGGGTGGGGGTGAGTAGGAGCTGGTCTTCACTCTTGGGTAATCCTGACCAATCCTAAGGCAGGAGGCTTGGCATGGGGTCAGGGCAGTCTTTAAGTCTGACTGAGCCTGCTCAGTAGGGGAGAGTTCTCGTGAAAGATGTGAGAGAGGCTGAGATGAAGGAGCCCGGAAGAGGGCCCAGTGGGAAGGAGCCTACCTACAGGCTAGGATCTTTGAAGGAGGATCACTCAGCCTCACCGCCCCCAGAGATGAAGACCACCTTTGGAGCCAGGGAAGGAGCCAGCTCAGCACAAGGCCCACCAGCTCACAGGAAAGGACTGAGAGAGTAATCCTGCACCCCCTGGGCCAGACAAGGGGAAGGAGCATTTGGGGGGGGGGACACCTGACTAGCTCCATACCCGGGACTGTTAACCTGTAGAGTAGCAGCCACTGGATCCCCTCTGCCCAGAGATTCCTCCCCACAGCAGAAGAGGACTTATCTGGGGTGGAACACCAGGAGAGGCTGGAGGGCTCTACTAGAAGAGAATGTCCTATTCTTGGACTTGTCCATAGTTCCCAGGAGGTTCCCTTGGGCATACCTTACCCCAACGAAAAAAAACAGGACTGTTTACTGTCTCTGGAATGCAAATCTGAGAGAAAATGCGTGTTGCCTGGCTGTGCAGGACTATAGGGGGACCCAAACCCTCAGCAACTCCTAAGGGGGCAGTGCTACATGTGTGTCGGGGGTCTGTCACACGGCCACCAATGGTCAGATCTAACACATGGGCAGGGGCGGACTGACAACTCATGGGGTCCCTGGGCAATAGGGAATCATGGGGCCCCTGTGTCCTTGCCCAAACTCAAAAAAGCCTATGAAAAAGGTACTAGGGGCATCTCATGGGGCCCCCTACTGACCCAGGGCCCTCGGGCAGTGCCCGAGTTTCTAAATGGTCAGTCTGCCCCTGCACATGGGGACCCCGAGCAGAAGGCCCAGCACAGTTCAGATCACAGCACCTTCAGGAGTGTTGAGTGCTGCAGATCTGAATCCCCAGAGAATGGCGAGGATGGGGGCAGTGAGCAGAGGACATTGTACATCACGCCTGTCTTTGCAAATGTGTGCAAACTAAACCGTTGTTGTTACTGTGAACTGTTAGACAGGAAAATTCCGGGTTTTGCCGGCTGGTTGGTAGGTTGATCCGGGAATTTTCCTTCATTCTTGTTTGACACGCATCGCCCTTCCACGTGCTCCTGGCTGTGAAGGCCAGTTATAGGTTGGGGTGGTCGCCATTTGTTTGTAGAGTTGGTGACGGGGCGCACCGGATACCTTGGTTGACATTGTGCTATTTCTGGGTGTCCAGTGCACCCCTGTACCTTTAGGGAGGAGTGGGCTCCCTCCAGGCATTCCTGCCCTCAATCCATCCATTATTATATATGTGCTTCTACTATGGAGGCTCTCAAGATGTATAGAGTTAGGGCTGCAGTACACGGGGGTGCCGTGATGTCGCCTCTGCAGCTTACACATACACTCTACTGCCCAAAGTATTGGGACACCCCTACCATATCATGTGATTCAGGTGTTCCAATCCCCTCCATATCATGTGATTCAGGTGTTCCAATCCCCTCCATTCATGCGATTCAGGTGTTCCAATCCCCTCCATATCATGCGATTCAGGTGTTCCAATCCCCTCCATATCATGCGATTCAGGTGTTCCAATCCCCTCCATATCATGCGATTCAGGTGTTCCAATCCCCTCCATATCATGCGATTCAGGTGTTCCAATCCCCTCCATATCATGAGATTCAGGTGTTCCAATCCCCTCCATATCATGCGATTCAGGTGTTCCAATCCCCTCCATATCATGCAATTCAGGTGTTCCAATCCCCTCCATATCATGTGATTCAGGTGTTCCAATCTTCTCCATATCATGTGATTCAGGTGTTCTAATCCCCTCCATATCATGTGATTCAGGTGTTCCCATCCCCTCCATATCATGTGATTCAGGTGTTCCAATCCCCTCCATATCATGTGATTCAGATGTCCCCTCCCCTCTAATCATGTGATTCAGGTGTTCCAATCCCCTCCCAATCATGTGATTCAGGTGCTCCAATCCCCTCCATATCATGTGATTCAGGTGTTCCAATCCCCTCCCAATCATGTGATTCAGGTGTTCCAATCCCCTCCATATTATGTGATTCAGGTGTTCCAATCCCCTCCCAATCATGTGATTCAGGTTCTCCAATCCCCTCCATATCATGTGATTCAGGTGTTCCAATCCCCTCCCAATCATGTGATTCAGGTGTCCAATCCCCTCCATATTATGTGATTCAGGTGTTCCAATCCCCTCCCAATCATGTGATTCAGGTGTTCCAATCCCCTCCATATCATGTGATTCAGATGTCCCCTCCCCTCTAATCATGTGATTCAGGTGTTCCAATCCCCTCCCAATCATGTGATTCAGGTGCTCCAATCCCCTCCATATCATGTGATTCAGGTGTTCCAATCCCCTCCATATCATGTGATTCAGGTGTTCCAATCCCCTCCCAATCATGTGATTCAGATGTTTCAATCCCCTCCATATCATGTAATTCAGGTGTTCCAATCCCCTCCAATCATGTGATTCAGGTGTTCCAATCCCCTCCATATCATGTGATTCAGGTGTTCCAATCCCCTCCATGGACACAGGCGTATACAATCAAGCCCCTAGGCATGCAGACGGCTTCTACAAACATTGGTGAAAGAATGGGTCGCTCTCAGGAGCTCAGTGACTCCAAGCGTGGTCCCGTGATAGGTGGCCACCTGGGCAATAAGTCCATCCGTGACATTTCCTGGCTACTAAATATTCCACGCTCAGCTGTTAGTGGGATTATAACAAAGTGGAAGCAACTGGGAACAACAGCCACTCAGCCACCAAGTGGTAGGCCACGTCACATGACAGGGCGGGGTCAGCGCATGCTGAAGCTCACAGTGCGCAGAAGCCACCAACTGTCTGCAGAGTCAATAGCTAAAGACCTCCAAACTTGGTGTGGCCTTCAGATGAGCCCAACAACAGAGCGTAGAGAGCTTCATGGAATGGGTTTCCATGGCCGAGCAGCTGCATCCAAGCCTTCCATCACCAAGTGCAATGCAAAGCGTCGGATGCCGTGGTGTAAAGCACGCCGCCACTGGACTCTAAAGCAGTGGAGACAGGAAGGGGCCATCCCCAAATACCAGGACAGTATAAACACCCCCAAATACCGGGACAGTATAAACACCCCCCAAATACCGGGACAGTATAAACACCCCCAAATACCGGGACAGTACAAACACCCCCAAATACCAGAACAGTACAAACACCCCCAAATACCAGGGCAGTACAAACACCCCCAAATACCAGGACAGTACAAACACCCCAACATACCAGGACAGTACAAACACCCCCAAATACCAGGACAGGACAAACCCCCCAAATACAGGACCAAACCCCCAAATACCAGGACAGTACAACCCCCCAAATACCAGGACAGTACAAACACCCCAACATACCAGGATAGTACAAACACCCCCAAATACCAGTACATTACAACCCCCCAAATACCAGGATAGTACAAAGACCCCCAAATCCCAGGACAGAACAAACACCCCCAAATATCAGGACAGTACAACCCCCCCAAATACCAGGACAGTACAGAAAACCCCCAAATGACCCCTTTTCGGAAAGTAGACACCCTAAGCTATCTACTAAGAGGAATATTGAGTCCATGGAAGATTTATTTTTTTACACAAGTTTTTGGAAAATGATAAAAAACATTTTTTTTTTTATACAAAAGTTGCTATGTAAATTATATATTTCTCACACAAGCCATGGGTTTATGTGGAATTACACCCCAAAATACATTCTGCCACTTCTCCCGAGTATGGGGGTACCACATGTGTGAGACATTTTGGGAGCCTAGCCACATACAGGAGCCTGAAATCCAATGACCACTTTGAAAGCCTGAAGGTGCGTAACTTCCTCATTTCACTTCCTCACCACCTATCACAGTTTCAGAGGCCCTGAATTGCCAGAATAGCACCAACCCCCCCAAATGACCCCTTTTTTGGAAAGTAGACACCCCAAGGAATTTAAAAAGAGGCATGGTGAGTATTTTGCAGATCTCATTTTTTCTCACAAGGTTCTCACAAAAGAAAAAATATGTTTTTGTTTTTTTTCTTCATTTTCCAAAAACTTGTGGCAACAAATGAGATCTGCAAAATACTCACCATGCCTCTTTATAAATTCCTTGGGGTGTCTACTTTCCAAAAAGGGGTCATTTGGGGGTGTTTGGTGCTATCCTGGCATTTCAGGGCCTCCGGAACTGTGATAGGTAGTCAGGAAGTGTAATGAGGAAATAAAGCCCTTTAAAAGCCTGAAGGTGCTTATTGAATTTTGGGGTCCTGTACTTGGCTAGACTGCCAAACCGTCTCTAGCATGTGGTACCCCCATACTCGGGAGAAGTAGCAGAATGTATTTTGGGGAGTAATTCCACATATACCCCAGGCATGTGTGAGCAAAAAATCATTTAAGTGACAACTTTGTGTAAAAAAAAAGTATTTTTTTTTGTCATTTTCCAAAAACTTGTAAAAAAATAAATTCTTCGATTGACCCAACATGTCTCTCAGTAAATAGTTTGGGGTGTCTACTTTCCAAAATGGGGTCATTTTGGGGGGTGGGGGCATTTTATGCCCAGCATTAGATGTTTATGCCACACATCATTCACTCTTCTAACCATCTGAAGATCAAACCTTTTCTGACACTTTTTGTTCACATGAAAACAAATCTCTATTTTTTGATAGGAAATTACAATAAAACAGTAACTGATTGAAACAACTTTTTTATTAAAATATCTCTGCCAGAAAAAGTGTGTGGTATGCTCACCATTAGAATATACCACCCTGCATCCACCCACTTCTAATGGTGGGCACTCATGAAATGTGCCAATAAATATTATACAATATATATACAGAGAAGCACAGGGGCCACCCACCCACTGGCCATCCCAGGCCCCATGCTGTGGCATATATGCTCTTTTTTAACTGCGGATGAAAAATCTCATCCAGCAGCACTGCACACACTGACATGTATTCTGAGAGCAAGACCCTGCTGCTGTCAGAATATACAGGTCGGTGCTGCGGCTGAATGACATTCCTGCAAAGAAAACAGCAATGGTTAACAATAAAACAGTAACTGAATAAAACAACTTTTTTATTAAAAATATCTCTGCCAAAAAAAGTGCGTGGTATGCCCACCATTAGAATATACCGCCCTGCATCCACCCACTTTTAACGGTGGGCACCCATGAAATGTACCAACAAATATTATAAAATATATATGCCGAAGCATAGGGGTCGTCCAACCACTGGCCACCTCAGGCCCCCATGCTGCGGCATATATGTTCTTTTTTAACTGCTGATGAAAAAATCTCATCCAGCAGAGCTGCACACACTGACATACATTCTGAGAGCAAGACCCCCTGCTGCTGTCAGAATAAACAGGTCGGTGCTGCAGCTGAATGACATTCCTGCAAAGAAAACAGTTAACAACATGGATAACAATAAAGCAGTAAAAGTGTAACAGTCAAACAGTAACAACGACAACAACAAAAATACTATTTTTGCTTTTTAAAATTTTACATTTTGGGGGGGATTTGTACTTTATATATTCTTAATATTTTTAAACTTTAAATTTTTAAACCAGACTGTAGGGTCTCTCAGAATGCAATAGTTTCCTGACCCCCTAACATCTTTGGGGCCCCCGTGTATATCTGTGCCCTGGACTGTGCTGTACCCTATACTAATACTCCACTAGTGTATGGTGGTGATGGAAGCAGTCCTTGAGGCAGGGACCAGGTTAGGAGGGACAAAAAAAGTGGGTGTCATGCCTAATTCCATGTCTGCTACAAACACCACCTCTTTTTGGGGTGACCTTTGGGTTGGGCTACCAGGAATGGCATGGGGAAAAAGCCTCTCTCATGCCGCTGGCTCACTGCATCTGGGTTGGGGGTTGGGGCCACAGCACCTTCTGTATACAAAAGGGTCGCGATGATCTCTTCCTGGAATTTTTGGAAGGATCCACTTTGTCCAGTTGCTTTGCAAAGCACAAAAGCGTTCTATTGACAGAAATAAACACTTTTTTGTAGCAGCGTTTGGCTTTTCGGGATACGAAGTCCGGCTTCATCATCTGGTGGTTGAAGTCCACCCCTGCCATGTGAAGGTCCTAGTCGTGGACACAGAGGGGCTTCTCAACAACACCAGCTGCCGTGGTAATTTGGATGGCCGTGTCTGCGTGAATGGAAGGCAGGAGAACATCCCGCTTGTCCTTCCTGTCCTTCCACTTCACTGCCAGCAATTACTCATTCCTCAAGCAGGCTTTCTGTTCCTTTCTAAGATGGGTATTTACAGGCCGTTGGGGGAAGCCCCAGCGATTAGTTCACACGGTGCCACAAGATTGTACAAATGTCTAAATAGTGGCACGCTTGTATAGAGATTGTCCACGTATAAGTGGTACCCCATATGTATAAAGGATGACACCAAGTCCCACACTATCTTGTCACTGCTCCCCATGTAGTCTGGGCATCCGGGGGGCTCCACGTGACTATCTTTTCCCTCGTAAATCCAAAACTTATATCTATAGCCTGTTGTCCTCTCACAGGTCTTCTACATCTTGACCCCATATCTGGCACGCTTGCTGGGGAGAAATTGTCTGAATGCAAGGAGGCCAGAAAAATTAATGAGGGACTCATCGAGGCAGATGTTTTGCTGGGGAGTATAGACATCTGCAAATTTCCGGTTAAGGTGATTTTTGTGGAGCCGGTCAAATTCAGGGGCAGAGTCACCCCCCGAGGACGGCAGAGTGTGTTGTCATAGAACTGCATAAAACACATTATACTCTCATATCTATGCCTGGTCATGGCAGCAGAGAACACGGGATATGATGAATCGGGTCTGCGGACCAATACAACCCCAATTCATTCTCTCAGTAATGCCCGTGTTGAGGGTTAGGCCCAGAAAAACGTTAAATTTGGGAACCGTAATGGGTTTCCATGTGAATGGTCGGCAAGGTTTGAATTTGGGTTGGTGGTGATAATTTGTTGTGCATATAAATTGCTTTGATCCACAATCAGCGCATACAGAACTTCCATGAAAAACAATCAAGAGGAGGAGTTACATTTGTTGTTTCCGCCTGAATTCCAGATTGGGCAGTGAATGGGGGAAGTACGGGTGCTTCAGAATTTGTAGGCTGCCAATTGGGATTTGCAAGCACATCCGGAAGGATACTAGGAGCTCCATGAGCCTGTGTGTGAATTCTTGGTGGCTGCGGGACAATACTTGTGCTCACCACCGCACCCGGCTTGTACTGCACTTATGGGACTCACCACGTCACCAAGTGATACTGCAGGGCTGGTATGTGAAAGACCAGGATGTAATAGGCCGCTGGTGCTCGCTAGTTCACCAAAAGGTAGCGTGGCACTAGTACTGGCACTCTGCTGCCTATGAGAACCATCATGCGTTTGTACCACCTCAGCAACTTTGGAACGGGGTCGGGTATACCTGATCTTAGAAGGGACCTCTTCTCCATCATCTGAGCGATCTGTCAGGGTGCCGCTGCTGTCTACAGGTTTGTATTCTGAGGCAGATTCTGTCAGTGAGTCTTCCTCTTCACTCTCACCTGACATGCTCAGAATCCTGTAGGCCTCTTCACTAGAGTACCTTTGGCTGGACATTTTGACCACTAAATTTACAGGTACCTAGTGCGACTCACAGGAAAAAGAGCACCTGGCTGTCAGGGACTGCTTGAACCGCTACAAACAAATGTACCTGCTAGTGCTAGCAGAGATCAGGCCTGATTCTGAAATCACTGCGGTTTGTTATGCCATGTATCAAGTGACCGTGACCTACTGACACTTGCTGGGGGAGAAGGGGGGAGGTAAGCATAGGGGCTAAATGCAGGTGCTGGCAGGTGCTGGGGCTGACCCCGCTAATGCTGCATTTTTGGGGACACTATACTAATGTGAACGCTGGTATAGTGCTGATCTGATGACAGATATTGATCCGTTCAGACACCATACTAGCCATGGAGGATTATGGTGTATGAGCGTGTTCCTGGCAATCAAGGGGTGAAATGTGAGGAGTGGTGTAGTGGCGGGCAATCTGACGCTATCTGGGAGGGGCGCTAACTGACGCTATGGTGAAGTTGCTGGCGACACTAAAACAGCAATCACAAAAAAATCTGTACACTGTACTAATGACAGGGCAGTGAAGGGGTTAACTGGGGGGGGATCAGGGGGGTCTATGTGACCTAGGTGTGTTCTGTGTCTGTGTGCTGCCTTTACTCACGTTTTGTGTTGATTCTTCTCTCTCTGGGATGGAATGTGTGCAGAGAGAAGATTTCATCACTTCAACACAGGATAGGACAGGGACCGATCATCCGACGTGGGGCGGACATCACTGGTCTAAATTGGATGATTGATCTTTCGGGGATCAAATCAGGGGACCCGTGGGACCCCCCAGCCCGCGAAAACCCTACGGCAGCGTGAAATATATATATATGTGTGTGTGATTTTGCACAAAGGGGCCACCCTGCAGCAGTAAATGTACTGTGGGCGGTCCCTAAGTGGTTGAAAGTCATGTGCGTGGAAAGGCCGGCAGCCAATAGAGTGTATGTTTGCGTGTGTTACATGAACTGTTAGGCAGGGAAATTCGGCTGGTTGCAGGTTGGCTGGTACATGAGCCCAGATCTTCTACTATATCATGTATGGATGGAAAGACACGGAGTGTGGAGGACATTGTACATACGTGTCTCCCGGATCTTCTACTATATCATGTATGGATGGAAAGACACGGAGTGTGGAGGACATTGTACATACGTGTCTCCCGGATCTTCTACTATATCATGTATGGATGGAAAGACACGGAGCGTGGAGGACATTGTACATACGTGTCTCCCGGATCTTCTACTATATCATTTATGGATATAAAAACACAGAGCGTGGAGGACATTGTACATACGTGTCTCCCGGATCTTCTACTCTATCATGTATGGATATAAGGACACCGGAGCGTGGAGGACATTGTACATACGTGTCTCCCGGATCTTCTACTATATCATGTATGGATATAAGGACACGGATCGTGGAGGACATTGTACATACGTGTCTCCCGGATCTTCTACTATATCATGTATGGATATAAGGACACGGATCGTGGAGGACATTGTACATACGTGTCTCCCGGATCTTCTACTATATCATGTATGGATATAAAGACACGGAGCGTGGAGGACATTGTACATACATGTCTCCCGGATCTTCTACTATATCATGTATGGATATAAGGGCACGGAGCGTGGAGGACATTGTACATACGTGTCTCCCGGATCTTCTACTATATCATGTATGGATATAAAGACACGGAGCGTGGAGGACATTGTACATACGTGAGTGGATATAAAGACACGGAGCGTGGAGGACATTGTACATACGTGTCTCCCGATCTTCTACTATATCATGTATGGATATAAGGACACGGAGGACATTGTACATACGTGTCTCCCGGATCTTCTACTATATCATGTGGATATAAGGACAGGACATTGTACATACGTGTCTCTTCTACGTATGATCTTCTTGTACATACGTATCTTCTATCATATGGTATGGATATAAGGACACGGAGCGTGGAGGACATTGTACATACGTGTCTCCCGGATCTTCTACTATATCATGTATGGATATAAGGACACGGAGCGTGGAGGACATTGTACATACGTGTCTCCCGGATCTTCTACTATATCATGTATGGATATAAAAACACGGAGCGTGGAGGACATTGTACATACGTGTCTCCCGGATCTTCTACTATATCATTTGTCTATGGATATAAGGACACGGAGCGTGGAGGACATTGTACATACGTGTCTCCCGGATCTTCTACTATATCATGTATGGATGGAAAGACACGGAGCGTGGAGGACATTGTACATACGTGTCTCCCGGATCTTCTACTATATCATGTATGGATATAAGGACACGGAGCGTGGAGGACATTGTACATACGTGGATCTCCCACGGATCTTCTACTATATCATGTATGGATATAAGGACACGGAGCGTGGAGGACATTGTACATACGTGTCTCCCGGATCTTCTACTATATCATGTATGGATATAAGGACACGGAGCGTGTACATACGGACTTCTACTGCATATGGATATAAGGACACGGAGCGTGGGACACTGCTAGGGACTGGAGGTGGGGATTGGACGGGACTTACCTTCCACATGGACGGTGTACTCATATCTCTGTATAAGGTTTCCTGTAGGATTACTTATATTCACAATGTATATCCCGCCATTCTCCAGAGTCACATCATGTATGACCAGACTTCCATTCTCCGATACCCTCGTATTGGTCACAGTCACGGTCTCTCCTGGTTTCAGTGTACATTGTCTGTGTCCAGCTATCCTGGTGTCATTGCCTCTGGTTGGGTTTCTATATCTCCACACATACTGCTCACACATCGATCGATCTGTATGGTTGAGGGTGAGATGGATTCTGATGGGGAGGAGAAGGTCAGATCCCGGCCAGGTGAATATTTCCTCCTGAACATCCGGGACATTTCCTGCACAGACAGAATACAGACCCCAGTCAGGTCACAGTCTACGCTCCCCTCCCCCATATTACTCAGACTTCTCTATCATGAACCCGGAAATATTCAGATTACATTCCTCAGAGTCCTCCAGGTCCTTCCTGGGTCCCCATCGTTTCCTTACCATCTCCGATCATTGAGAGGTCTCTTCTGACATCCCAATACCACCAAGTATTCTAATAAATGATTGGCGATACAAACCCTGCCCCCATCTGCCACATCGAGGGAGCCTATTGGCTGTGTGAGAAGTATTGATGAACAGATGGGGGGAGGAGCATAAATATTTGGTTAATGGTGGAACTGGATGGACCTTTGTATTTTTTCAGCCAGACTAACTATGTAACTATGTGACTATGGAACTAGGAACTGGGGAACTAGGAACTATGTGACTATGGAACTAGGAACTAGGAAACTATATGGAACTATATGTAACTGGGGAACTATGGAACTGGGGATTTATGGAACTGGGGATTTATGGAACTATAGAACTGGGGAACTATGGAACTGGGGAACTATGGAACTGGGGATTTATGGAACTATGGAACTGGGGAACTATGGAACTGGGGAACTATGGAACTGGGGAACTATGGAACTATGGAACTGGGGAACTATGGAACTGGGGAACTATGGAACTGGGGAACTGGGGAACTAGGAAACTATATGGAACTATGGAACAATATGTAACTATATGTAACTGGGGAACTATGGAACTGGGGATCTATGGAACTATGGAACTGGGGAACTGGGGAACTATGGAACTGGGGAACTTACAATCTAAGAGGGAGGGGCTGATCCCGGGAGTTTACAATCTAAGAGGGAGGGGCTGATCCCGGGAGCTTACAATCTAAGAGGGAGGGGCTGATCCCGGGAGCTTACAATCTAAGAGGGAGGGGCAGATCCTGGGAGTTTACAATCTAAGAGGGAGGGGCTGATCCTGGGAGCTTACAATCTAAGAGGGAGGGGCTGATCCCGGGAGCTTACAATCTAAGAGGGAGGGGCTGATCCCAGGAACTTACAATCTAAGAGGGAGGGGCTAGTGGTACAAAAGGTAGTAACTGTGGGGGATGGACTGGTAGGAGGAGTAGAAGATTGCAGTATTAGCTGAGGGCAGGATAGGCTCTGGAGAAGTCCTGGAGATGAGCATGGGAGGAGGAGACAAGGGAGCTAGAGAGTAGGAGGTCTTGCCAGGAGCGGAGAGGACAGTTTGGGTGATATTTGGAGACAAGATCGGTGATGTAATTTGGGGCGGAGTTATAAATGGCTTTATATGTTATTGTTAATGTTTTGAATTGTATTTTGTTGGACAATGGGAAGCCAGTGGAGGGATTGGTAGAGAGGGGTGGAGGACACTGAGTGGGGGCCAGTGGAAGGATTGGTAGAGGGGGGTGGAGGACACTGAATGGAGGCCAGTGGAGGGATTGGTAGAGAGGGGTGGAGGACACTGAGTGGAGGCCAGTGGAGGGATTGGCAGAGAGGGGTGGAGGACACTGAGTGGAGGCCAGTGGAGGGATTGGCAGAGAGGGGTGGAGGACACTGAGTGGAGGCCAGTGGAGGGATTGGCAGAGAGGGGTGGAGGACACTGAATGGAAGCCAGTGGAGGGATTGGCAGAGGGGGGTGGGGGGACATGAATGGAGTAGTGACTATTGGTCAGGATGAGTATAGAGTAGTGACCATTGGTTGGGATGAGTACGGAGTAGTGGCCATTGGTTGGGATGAGTACGGAGTAGTGGCCATTGGTTGGGATGAGTACGGAGTAGTGGCCATTGGTTGGGATGAGTACGGAGTAGTGGCCATTGGTTGGGATGAGTACGGAGTAGTGGCCATTGGTTGGGATGAGGGAGTAGTGGCCATTGGTTGGGATGAGTACGGAGTAGTGACCATTGGTTGGGATGAGTACGGAGTAGTAGGCCATTGGTTGGGGTGAGTACGGAGTAGTGACCATTGGTTGGGATGAGTACGGAGTAGTGGCCATTGGTTGGGGTGAGTACGGAGTAGTGGCCATTGGTTGGGATGAGTACGGAGTAGTGGCCATTGGTTGGGATGGTACGGAGTGTGTGCCATTGGTTGGGACGGAGTAGTGGCCATTGGTTGGGATGAGTACGGAGTAGTGACCATTGGTTGGGATGAGTACGGAGTAGTGGCCATTGGTTGGGGTGAGTACGGAGTAGTGACCATTGGTTGGGATGAGTACGGAGTAGTGGCCATTGGTTGGGATGAGTACGGAGTAGTGGCCATTGGTTGGGATGATGAGTACGGAGTAGTGGCCATTGGTTGGGATGAGTACGGAGTAGTGGCCATTGGTTGGGATGAGTACGGAGTAGTGGCCATTGGTGGGATGAGTGGAGTAGTGGCCATTGGTTGGGATGAGTACGGAGTAGTGACCATTGGTTGGGATGAGTACGGAGTAGTGGCCATTGGTTGGGGTGAGTACGGAGTAGTGACCATTGGTTGGGATGAGTACGGAGTAGTGGCCATTGGTTGGGATGAGTACGGAGTAGTGGCCATTGGTTGGGGTATCTATGATATATACTCTGTCTGGTAACAATACTGTATTATCACCTCTTTATAATGTTCCTCCATCCCTCTGCCTGGACAGAGAAGAGCCCACAGGCGGAGGACACGGAGGGAACACATTTATCACCTCTATATTATGTTCTTACATACCTCTGCCTGGACAGAGAAGAGCCCAAAAGAGGAGGACACGGAGGGCGCACATTGCTGTGGTCATCATATTGGGTCTGTGTGAGAAAAGTGAAATTGCAGAGAAAATAAGGAAGATGAATTTGACATTCAGATTTGGCATTTCCTCATTTCCAGAATTGTAGGCCGTGTGGGAACTCACCATCAGCTCAATGCCTGGTAACACTTGCTGTACCCAGAACTGACAGTTCCGTATTCTGGAGATGCCAACTGTCCATACTATCTCTTGGGAGACCATTGTTTGGATCTCTGTGATGAACGTCTGGGTCCTCACACCTGATATGCCCGTTATAAGGAGTTTTGACCATTCTTGGTGGAGTATTTTATGTTGTATTGGAGATACTACAACATAAGAAATGGGACCACCCCAAGGTCGAAACATCCAGACTCCCATAAGGAAAGGAACAGTCTTGGGAACTGCAGAATGGAGATCTGACAGAGATGACAATTTCCCCAATTCAGGATAATTCTGTCCTCTCAACCTTCAAGGATAGGATACACCACTCACATCCAGCATGTCCACACAGAGCTGGCAGCTAAACCAATGCTGACTGTGCACCCACACAAACCATAATGCCTCATCTTCACCACCATGACTAGAACCTCAACAAAGCATGAGCCATCTAGCATCTTCACCACCACCTCCACCTCATCTTTACCACCATGACTAGAACCTCAACAAAGGGTGAGCCATCTAGCATCTTCTTCACCACCACCACCTCATCTCCCCCACCCTGACTAACAACTCAACAAACAAGAGGTAAGCCATCTATCATCTTCTTCATCACCACCATGACTAAGAACTGTACAAACAAAGGGGGGGGGGGGACATCTAGCATCTTCACCACCACCACGACTAACAACTCAACTAGTACATGGGGACATTCCCACCAACCCATCTACAACCGTACATCCGACCGACCAGACTGGGAACTGATAGTACATGGGGACATTACCACCAACCCATCTACAACCGTACATCCGACCGACCAGACCGGGAACTGATAGTACATGGGGACATTCCCACCAACCCATCTACAACCGTACATCCGACCGACCAGACTGGGAACTGATAGTACATGGGGACATTACCACCAACCCATCTACAACCGTACATCCGACCGACCAGACTGGGAACTGATAGTACATGGGGACATTCCCACCAACCCATCTACAACCGTACATCCGACCGACCAGACTGGGAACTGATAGTACATGGGGACATTCCCACCAACCATCTACAACCGTACATCCGACCGACCAGACCGGGAACTGATAGTACGTGGGGACATTCCCACCAACCCATCTACAACCGTACATCCGACCGACCAGACCGGGAACTGATAGTACACGGGGACATTCCCACCAACCCATCTACAACCGTACATCCGACCGACCAGACCGGGAACTGATAGTACGTGGGGACATTCCCACCAACCCATCTACAACCGTACATCCGACCGACCAGACCGGGAACTGATAGTAGTACATGGGGACATTCCCACCAACCCATCTACAACCGTACATCCGACCGACCAGACCGGGAACTGATAGTACGTGGGGACATTCCCACCAACCCATCTACAACCGTACATCCGACCGACCAGACCGGGAACTGATAGTACATGGGGACATTCCCACCAACCCATCTACAACCGTACATCCCGACCGACCAGACTGGGAACTGATAGTACGTGGGGACATTCCCACCAACCCATCTACAACCGTACATCCGACCGACCAGACCGGGAACTGATAGTACATGGGGACATTCCCACCAACCCATCTACAACCGTACATCCGACCGACCAGACCGGGAACTGATAGTACGTGGGGACATTCCCACCAACCCATCTACAACCGTACATCCGACCGACCAGACCGGGAACTGATAGTACATGGGGACATTCCCACCAACCCATCTACAACCGTACATCCGACCGACCAGACCGGGAACTGATAGTACATGGGGACATTCCACCAACCATCTCATCTACAACCGTACATCCGACCCGACCAGACCGGGAACTGATAGTACATGGGGACATTCCCACCAACCCATCTACAACCGTACATCCGACCGACCAGACCGGGAACTGATAGTACATGGGGACATTCCCACCAACCATCTACAACCGTACATCCGACCGACCAGACCGGGAACTGATAGTACATGGGGACATTCCCACCAACCCATCTACAACCGTACATCCGACCGACCAGACCGGGAACTGATAGTACATGGGGACATTCCCACCAACCCATCTACAACCGTACATCCGACCGACCAGACCGGGAACTGATAGTACATGGGGACATTCCCACCAATCATCTACAACCGTACATCCGACCGACCAGACCGGGAACTGATAGTACATGGGGACATTCCCACCAACCATCTACAACCGTACATCCGACCGACCAGACCGGGAACTGATAGTACATGGGGACATTGCCACCAACCCATCTACAACCGTACATCCGACCGACCAGACCGGGAACTGATAGTACGTGGGGACATTACCACCAACCCATCTACAACCGTACATCCGACCGACCAGACCGGGAACTGATAGTACGTGGGGACATTCCCACCAACCCATCTACAACCGTACATCCGACCGACCAGACCGGGAACTGATAGTACGTGGGGACATTACCACCAACCCATCTACAACCGTACATCCGACCGACCAGACCGGGAACTGATAGTACATGGGGACATTACCACCAACCCATCTACAACCGTACATCCCACCGACCAGACCGGGAACTGATAGTACATGGGAACATTCCCACCAATCATCTACAACCGTACATCCCACCGACCAGACCGGGAACTGATAGTACATGGGGACATTCCCACCAACCCATCTACAACCGTACATCCGACCGACCAGACCGGGAACTGATAGTACGTGGGGACATTCCCACCAACCCATCTACAACCGTACATCCCACCGACCAGACCGGGAACTGATAGTACATGGGGACATTACCACCAACCCATCTACAACCGTACATCCGACCGACCAGACCGGGAACTGATAGTACATGGGGACATTCCCACCAACCCATCTACAACCGTACATCCGACCGACCAGACCGGGAACTGATAGTACATGGGAACATTCCCACCAATCATCATCTACAACCGTAAATCCGACCGACCAGACCGGGAACTGATAGTAGATGGGGACATTCCCACCACCAACCCATCTACAACCGTACATCCCACCGACCAGACTGGGAACTGATAGTACATGGGGACATTCCCACCAACCCATCTACAACCGTACATCCGACCGACCAGACCGGGAACTGATAGTACGTGGGGACATTCCCACCAACCCATCTAAACCGTACATCCGACCGACCAGACCCGGGAACTGATAGTACATGGGGACATTCCCACCAACCCATCTACAACCGTACATCCGACCGACCAGACCGGGAACTGATAGTACGTGGGGACATTCCCACCAACCCATCTACAACCGTACATCCGACCGACCAGACCGGGAACTGATAGTACGTGGGGACATTCCCACCAACCCATCTACAACCGTACATCCGACCGACCAGACCGGGAACTGATAGTACGTGGGGACATTCCCACCAACCCATCTACAACCGTACATCCGACCGACCAGACCGGGAACTGATAGTACATGGGGACATTACCACCAACCCATCTACAACCGTACATCCCACCGACCAGACCGGGAACTGATAGTACGTGGGGACATTACCACAAGACAAGATGGCAATGTATGAGGAGCAACAGCATGCAGAGACATGGTGGATCCCTGCCACTAATTCATCTACACAAGGGACGTGGGACCTTCCATAAGTCTGCCTCCACACAGATATCTGCACATAAAATACACACAGATTTGATCGGGCAACTCTTTCATCCATTTTTTTTTTTTAGGAACCCCCAAAATCTTTCAGTTTTGAGTTTGTAGAGACATATCAGCCCAGACAGTGCTGGGATGAGCTCCTCTTTGGTGGTGACACTCTACAGTGTGATACATCTGGTGTCACTCCATACAAAGGGGGGGGCAGCAGGTATTCTAGATCTGGTTTGAGCTCTGAGACCCCTGTGAGACCGAACATAGCCTCTCTGTCTTCTTGCAGGTCCTCAAATGTAGGTTCTCCTTCATCGCCAAAAACACAAAATGATCTGTAAGGCTCTCCCACAGCAATCCAGGGCCACCAAAGTCATATCTCTCCGGAGAGCATTCTGTTGTCACCCCTAAATTTTCCTGCTCTGTGTACCATTTCAGAGCCCGATATCGGTTGTCCAGTTCTATCTCCTGCTGGACCAGCCTGTCCAACTCAGTCACCCATTGCTCCTGGGGTCACTCTCCCAGGAATGGCATCTGTAACTTCCGATGGTCCCTGGCCCGCTCCCCTGGGGTTGGTTAGCACTTGCCCTTATCCATACCAGCAACCTGGAGGGCTCCTCTCCAAAGCATCTCCCAAATCCGCTGCCTGAGCTCCAGGTACTGATCTGCAGACACAGTCCTAGGATATGGTGCAAGAACGATCCGCAGCAGCCCTGGGAACTCTGATGCCAGGTCCATATCTCCACTGGGGTGACAGACGTCTCCTTTCCTGATCTTGGATCCTGGTGGTGGTTTGGATGTGTTCACAGCTTGGAAGCAAAATCCCACCGCTGCCACCAATGTAACGGAACCGACCCCGACTGCACCAATGTAACGGAACTGACCCCGACTGCACCAATGTAACGGAACTGACCCCGACTGCACCAATGTAACG